AAATAATGACTTTAAACGAGACTGCTGATATTCCTGTTTCATCAACTTGTTTGTGAATAATTTACCTCGTTTTAGAAATTGTTCATACGTAGAGCATGCTCTTGCGTATGGAATCAACTGAGATACGTAAACTCTGTATGCAGATGATGAAGGTATATTGCTGCATAAGTAAGGGAAGTTAATGATAGAAAATTTAAAGTCCTCACGTTCATCACAGAGCTTGATTGTTGTTACATTTAGATTACCATTAACGTCTTTTCAAGTAAAATATCCAAATATGAAACAGATGTGTCAGACTCTGTGGTATCTTTTATCTCAAGCTCACCAGGATATATCGTATCGACATAAGAATGGAAATATAACCATTGTTAATTGACAATACGCCGTAGATATATCTACATGTCGAGCTGAAGGCCACAGCAAGTGTTTTCTTCTTTTCACGTATGAGATTTTAAATTTTTTTTCAGGGTGCCGTAATTTTTTAAGTGCATTGCAACAGAGCGTTAACTTTATATGCTGGTGATAGCTGTGTATTTCTTTATAAAGAATGGAAGATGATGATAGAAAATTTGATGTCATCACGTTTATTATAAAGTTTTGTTGTTAGATTATTTAGTAAGATACCCGGACATGAAACAGATGTGTTAGACTCTTTGGTATCTTTTATTTCAATTTCACTGGGATATATCGAGAAGACATATATGGATGAAAGTATTATACTGCTAATTGATTACACGTCATTGATACAGTGTATTAAAACGTCGATTTGAAGGTAGCAGCAAGTGTATTTGTTCTAATCTTATTTTTAAGTTTTTAAATAGTCATCTGAATACAGAAATGTGTCTGCAAATAATTAGCTCAGATGGTACCTATGAAATTCCTACAGATTGCTGGAAGAGTCGATCTCCATAAACTATATGGATATTACCAATAAGAAATTGAAGCGTAATTTTGAGATCAACCCCGCAGTACTTGTGCGTACAAACAAAATGTTTTTCAACAAAATCATTTTGCAAATGACCGAGGACAAGATAAATGATTTTAAGAGTTCCTTTCTTGATTGAAAAAGCTCTCTATGATGTTAAAAAGTTTGGACTTTAATTTATCATGAGGAATAGTTGCCAAGGTGTTGAAAATTCGTAGATGTCGATGTTATACTCAGTAGATTATTTTTAATTTTTTGGATTTCAAATTTTAAAGTATCTTGGAATTTTCAAGTACCCACCTCTGATCAACACTACTTCTTGCATATCTACTCATGGAGTTTTTTTTTTTCTCTGTAGTCAAAATGTAAGTGGGGAGTAAAGAAAGTGGCTTGGTAGACCACAATCTAATTAAAATTAGATGTTAGATCCGCTTGCATACTCGCTAGTGTGCGAGCGGATCTAACATCTAATTTTAATTAGAATGGGTAGACCATTTAATGGAACTTGCTATTTATCTTTGTAAGAATTTTTATGTGGTTGAGAAATCGAGTATAAGTATGGTATTTCAAATTCAATGTCATATTGCTGGGAATATTAAAAAAATATAGAATAAATTGCTCCATCTCTTCCATTTTCCCCTCAGTTGTGATTGGTCCACCTTTTGCAGTCCAGACTTTCACATATAACTTTTGTTTTCTTGCTGTTCATTTTGAACCCTAACTTCTCTCCAATTCCGTTTAGACTTAAGGTCTTTTCTCTGATGTCTTTTCTTTGGTGGGACAGTAGGGCAAGGTCATCGGCAACATCCAGGTCTTCCATCTTCTGACCATTGTCCATTGTATTCCCCTTAGCTTATCAAATACCTTTATGATCAAGTCTATCACTGTTAGGGACAGTGGGCGAGAGTAAGCTGCATTGTGTCCTTCCAGTTTTAACTGGAAAGGAATCAGTGAAAGATGTATCATGTATCAATGGTACTGATAATTCTTCGTATAGGGTCTTACAAATATTCATTATCTTGGCATTTGCCACATTCCATCTCCGTTGACACTGTCAAATGCCTTTAAGTCAATAAAATTTATATACAGAGATGATTGCTATTCAACAGATTGCTCCACGATTATGCTTAGAGTTGCAATTTGGTCAGTACAGTTTGTGTTAAATCTAAAGCCTCCCTGTTCATTCCAAAAAACTTTATCCATCGCATCTTTCACCATGTTCAGTATTACTGTACATAGGATTTTGGTAGCTACTGGCAAAAGAGTAATGCCCCTCCAATTTTCACAGCAGATTAAGTATCCCTTTTGGGGCAGCTGAACAAGTAGCCCTTTTTCTGGTGGTATTTTCTCAGCTTCCCAGATTTTATGTAAAAGTTTAAAAAGGAATTCATTTATCTCTTCTCCTCCACATTTCAATGCCTCGGGTGATTTTCTATCAACCCCAGTCGCTTAACCATTTTTGTATGATTTTATGGCATCCTTAATTTCCTATTTCTTTATATTGTCAACCTTTATGTTTTGGTCTTTCTCTGGTGGTAAGGTAACCAATTTGTCTGGATCTGGCCTCTTCAAGACGTTAATGAAGTGTTCATGCCACCTTTCCATTTGTTCATTTAGTTTCGTGAGGAGGTCTTACCATCTTTGTCTTTGACCGACTTTGACTTTTGACTTGTCTTAGACTTGTTTTACGTCTACTGAAGGTTTTGGGGATGTTGTAGAGAGTCTTTATATCCCCCATGTAGACAGCTCTTTCGGCTTCTGTTACAAGTTGGTTGACATACTCTCTTTTGTCATACCTACATGATTTTTTTAGCTCTACTGGTCAGAGACCAGAAGAGCTTATGTGGTAGTAATGCGTCCGTCATCCATCCGTCTAGCTGTCTGTCTGTCTACACAATTTTTCAAAATGCTACTCCTCCTACAGTTTTGGTCTGATTTCAATATAACTTTGCACACAAGTAGACTATACGAAGATACATATTTCTGTGCATCGGTTTTTCATTTCGATGAACGGTGTTGCCGTTGTTACTAAAAATAGAAATTTCTGTGAAATGCTTTCAAAATGCTACTCCTACTACAGTTTTGGTCTGATTTCAATATAACTTGTGCACACAGGTAGACTATACTAAGATACATACATTGTAATTCTGTGCATAGGTTTTTGATTTCGATGAACGGTGTTGCCGTGGTTACTAAAAATAGAAATTACTGTGAAATACTTTCAAAATGCTACTCCTCCTACAGTTTTGGTCTGATTTCAATATAACTTTGCACACAAGTAAATTATACTTAGATAAATAATTCTGTGCATCGGTTTTTGATTTTGATAACGGTTGTTGCCGTGGTTACTAAAAATATAAATTTTTGTGAAATGCTTTCAAAATGCTACAGTAACTCCTCCTACAGTTTTGGTCTGATTTCAATATAACTTTGCACACAAGTAGACTGCACTAAAATACATGTACATAATTCTGTGCACCGGCTTTTTATTTCTGTGAACGGTGTAGCCGTAGTTACTAAAAATAGACATTGCTGTGAAATACTTTCAAAATGCTACTCCTTCTACAGTTTTGGTCTGATTTCAATATAACTTTGAATATCTCCTAGTCAATCAGGTTTTTAAGTTTGTCGACATTGTACTTTATTCTCTTTGTCTCGGTTTTTGCATTCTTTGCCATTTTGATTTTCACTTTGGCTAGTATCATGTGGTGGTCGAAATTAACATCTGCTCCTCTCATAGCTCTTAAATCCTGCAAAGGATATTTTGTTGTTAAAGTTTGCTCAAATCACGAAACTTGAGGGAAGAGGGATGTTTTACTAGGGATCAAAGTTTTCCACATAATAAAAGTATTTTTTGGAATTTATTTTTAAGAACAGTTGTTTAAGAACATTAAAACTACGTGTATATTTTTGTGGGAGCATCCACAAGTAGTGTATATTCAAAGTTAATACCCTTTGGATAGGATATGGCAACAATGGACAATTTAAGATTTACATAGAAATTTATAGAAAAAAATCTTTTTAAAATCTTTTTTTCGCGGAACAGCAAAGTCATGATATATAAGTAATAATTATTGAAAACAAACAGTGCAGATTCAAGTATGTTAAAATCATAACTTCCAGGAAAAAGCTGGGACAATAATGGGTAATCAAATTTTATATGAGCTAGATTGGAAAAAGAATCTGTAGATCAAGTGGAGACACGGTTACTCGGGTGAGCGTTGTGGCCCAAGGGACTAATGTTTTTAATTCTGTTAAATATATTGAACTCTTGACTTAATTATTTTTCCATTATTGAACACAGAAGAATAGGTGTTTCATATTGTTCCTCAGTCGCTTAAATGTGTGATTTCAACAACCATCTGATTCTTTTAACAGTTGTTTTAAGTGTCAAGGTCTATCTCTTTTAGTCCATCACCTCCTGTAAACTTCCACAGAATTCAAACTACATGTATTAATGAAATTATGATGTCAATCGATCGATTTTGGTCCTTTTAAAAAAGTGATTTAAGATCCTCAAACAAACCGAATGCAGAAACTTTCTTTTCATATTTATTTTAAAAAAAAAATAACTACAGAATATTTGTAAGTTAATTGCGTAAAATGTATATAGGTAAGTTTTGTTGCAAAATTGTTAATTTATAATTTGAATTCATGTCTAGGTTCAAAGTTGAAACTTTTGGACGCATGAACTCCATTTACCAAAACAACCCATTTAATAGATTAACTTTTTTTTTATAATTTAGAGTTTTTCACCTGCGTATTCTTTTGTCTTTCTTTTCTTTTCTTTCTTTCTTTTTTTGAGGGCGTGGGGGTTGAGGGAGGGCATGTAAAAAGCATGCTTGCAATCCAATCGTGAGAAAAATATTTTTTTTTTAAATTTTTTTTTAAAAAGAACTGCATATTATGCACATGCACTTCCACATGTTCAGTACATTGAAGATAACATTTTTAAATGGACTGCGCGGTTTTTGAATGCACAATAAGCTAGACCTTTAACGTTACATTTTTAAATTAATGTTAATTTTTCCTTGTTTTTATTATTGCATGGATATTACCTTTGTCAATCCAGCAAAATCTAATTATTGTTAAAGATAATTCCAGGTATTTTGCATTTGTCCTTCGTCAATACGGACCATCTGTTATAAAATTTACAACTTCTGATACCGTCCCGCGAACTTGTTAAATACCCTCAGGTGAAAACACTTCAAATGACTTGAGAAAGATTTACTTGAAAATGGCGACGCCGAAAAGCATGAAGTCGTTTCGATCATGGAGTTCTGTCGATTCTGTGGACCCAAACGATGTCCGCCATCTCTGTGAGACGGAAAACGATCCCACCGCCCAGAAGCCCTCGCCCGGCGGGCGCTGTGTCAGCACGTGGACTTTTTCTTTGATCGTTTTGATCATCAGTGTGTTTCTGCTTGCTGGAATATTCGTGGGATACTATATCAGAGATGGTCAAAACTATCCAGGTCCTAAGGATGTGCCATGCAATTTTACGTTTCGATCAGACGGATTTCGGCCTGATCTTTTGGAAATGGTTCATGAAAATGTCATGTATCTGATGTCGGGAGAGAGGGTTAGGGACACAGCTGGGTAAGTTATAGGGGGATTAGGATTCGTGGATTTTGAGGTCATGGATTAACTACAGATGTCCAGGGATTAAAACATGACCAGATTAACTAATTAACGCCATGTATTAATCCTCAAAAGTAAAACCGGATATTTTAGTTTGATGATTTTCTTTCACACAAGGAAGTAATATTTTACATTATACTTATAGCTCTGTTATATAGCCTGTGACATTGCATAATGTAAAGTGATATATCAGATAATCTTGTTTACCTTGAAATAAATATACTTTAAATGCATGCAGACATGCTTTTTCGGACTTTAGGGAATATGATACTAAGTGTGACAATTTTTTAAACCCTTCTGAAATTTCTCATAGGAATGGGGCATGCATGCATAGGGCCACCCTTCATCTTTTTATGGTTATAACAGTGAGGCTGAGAGCCACCCCTCTCCCCCCTTCCACACATGCACACCCTTACATACCTCCTTATTCAGTGTAATAAGAATTACAGTTACTGTAGAAGTACTTTTTTCTGCGTAGTATTATTTTAATACGCGGTCACAAACTGAACTTTCCTTAATATTAATGTAAGGCCTATAGTGACAGAAAAAATCATGGATGGATATCCCTCCAAAGACCATAACAAAAAATAATTTCTCTCCAGACACCATAACAAAAATAATGTCTCTGACCCCCCCCACCCCCATCCCACCCCACATCCCACCTCTTCTCCTAAAAAGGTTAATGTACCATGACTATTTTCTGAATTCCAGTTATTTATTCATTAATCAAATGTAGTTATTTGGTGAATACCTGCAGACACAAATAAAATTTTTACCTACTTGAACAAAAGTAAATATTTTTTTTTATTCTGATAAATCGTACTGATAAAACTATAAAATTACATTGTCATTGACGATAAGACACCTTATCATTCAGAGGCGGATATTATCATAATTAGACAAAATACCTCTTCACAATTGTTATGTTAACAGAGATCTTGATCAGCGATTTAAAGAACCTGGCACAATGATACAACGAAATTGGATAATCAACAAAATTGTCTGTAGCACCTTGATAGAAATCTATACCATAATCGCTTGTATACTTCTTGCTCATGGCATGACAGATGGTTTAGTGAAGGGTTTTCTTCTTTTAGGTTTATGATTTATATGCACTGTGTGATATCAGTTTGTTTAGAGGGAATAGGGGGGACTACATAGTGCCAGTGACAATGTGCATTGGTCCAATTAACTTGTGTCTCCTTTGTGTGTTTTCTTTTGTGCATGTGGAAGATTATTTTAAAATCCTCCATTACAACAAAGACGCTCACCAGGAGTTTTTCTCTTTTGTAATTTATCAGAGCCATAATAGGAAATTGTCAATAGAACTGTCACCAATGAAAAGAAAAATTCTTGGCTTCATTAACTTCAAATTTTGAAGGAAATTTATTATTTTTCTAAGGAGTGTTAATTTTGAAAAATTTCAAGTAAAAGTTCTGAACAAACAGTGCTATCTTTTTATTCTATTGTACAGTATTTTAAATATAGGCTCAAACATACATGGTTATTATAAGATAAATATTGTTCATTATAATTTGCTCTTTTTAATCTTCTATTCCTTATAGTTTTTTTTGTTGTTTTTTTGTTGTTTTTTTTGTTGTTTTTTTTTTTTTTTACATTTTCATGAACTATAAAAACTTTAATTTTGCAATCAAATGATGAAGATTCAAATCACGTCACAAACAAGGTTCCTTTGAAAGGTCAAGGTCATAATTAGAGGTCATTCAGGCAGAGTTTAAAAATTAATATAATCACTCACTAGTTGTTCATCTAATTGAAGTTCTTAAATATTGTTTGATTCAGTTCAATTAAGATCCAATGTGTATTTGAATTTGTTGGAAGTTTGAAAAACTTTTGGTCAGTTTAATAAAGAGATGTTTCCACAAGGTGAATTTTAAGTGTGTGACACTTTAATTGCCTGGATGATGTATATAAGTGGACCAGGAACTGTGACCAGTCTTTAAAAAAATCTATAAACAACACAAAACTGTGAAAAAGGGCATGAACACTGACCCCTGGATAATCCAGAGGTGGGATTAGGTGCCTAGATGAAGTAAGCATCCCATGCATTTAAGTCATGTTTACTGAATATACACTTATTAGTTATAATTTTAATAAATGGTCTGTCTACTGTTGCATGATCCATACAAGCCTAATTCACCTCCTTTCTAAAAGCTCAAATTTATAAAAAAAATTGAGAGAAAAAATTCATGTCATTTTTAGAACTCTGCAAAAAAGTGTGTTTTATAATTAATGTACTTTTTCAGAAATTTAACCCCAAAATTTATAATTTTTTATATATTTTTATTTTGTATTATTGAGCCATGGTCCTTGTAACAAGGCATTAATTGTATGTGTTAGACCTTTTTCTATTAGTTTGACCTTTCAATATTATGTGACATCATAGCAATTAATGCTGAAAATATTTGGTCTGTTAATTATAACATTGCGTTCACAGTAATTTAATTTTTTGCTGCAGGCCAATGTTTGACGAGACATGGAAAATTTTTGAGTCTGAAATATTTTGATGCTCGTTAGTTTTACTATCAAAAGGTATTTTCAGGCATTAAGTTAATAATATTTACCTTAAGTTATAGGTCAGATTCCTTAAAACAAAGGTTTGAGGCATAAATACCTTGTAAAATAATTAATACAGGGTTATAATTGCGATTTAGTCTGGATTTATTTTGGATTTCTTTTGAGTAACCAAGTACATGATGCTTACAGCATTTCACAATCAATATATTCAAAACAGAAAATTTCTTTGAAGTCGATCGCTCTCTATACCTCATTTCTGCACAGGTTTAAACTTCAACGGCATTGATACAATTTGTCGAGAATAATCGCGCTATTCACCTTCATTTTTTGTTGATAGACAGTGCAAATATACAAAGTTAACCAACCCTTTTCATAAAGTGCATAATATTGGTGTGTGAATCTCCTTACAAAATAGGAATCAAAGAAGGATTTAAATCTTATTTAGATTTTGTTAATAAACTGTCTTTTGCACCTTTTTTATCCTTACCTCCGCCCATTTTTTGACGACAAATAAAGGGTGCATTTTAAAAGGTGTTTTATTGCATAATCGTTTTGAAAGACAATTTCTTTATTTTGTTTTTTTTTAATAAGAGGTGCATAATTCTTCTGTAGCCACAGTATAATTTGAAGTTGCTTACTCAATTTACCAAATTCTTTGTAAAGCTCAGAGTTGCATTTGCCCAAGAGTGAAGTTTATTAAAGGTTTCTCACTTTCATAATTACAAGGGACAAATTTTTTAGCATCACTAATCATGCTCAAAAGTCTCTTTGTATCTTTTGAAGAAGGAGGGAACAGGGTAAATTTCAAGAGTTATATTTTGTAAATATCGTCCTTAGTTTGGATTCTTTGTGGGGAAGGAGGGATATAAAAATTGGCAAAATGCAGCAAGGGAGACAAACCTGAATGATTATTTATATGTTCAGTCTTTGATGAGTATAATTACAGACTAAATTATATGTATTAAAGCTTTTGAATGGTTACTCCTTACAGTTCATTATTCATTTGTTCTAAAAATGCATTATTTTAGAACAAACAATAATTTACTATGTCCTCTCTATGCTGGCCAGCTCATACGGCCTTCACCAGAGACTTCCATGTTGGTCTATCTTGTGTCCATCACAAAACAAATTCAAACATATAGTTGTTTTTAATCAATATTGTGTTTCCTTTCACATGAGTTTGTCAGCATTTAAAAATGTACAAAAATGGGAGATGTTCAAATGATTTTTGAAGTCTAAATTTATATTCACATTTAGATGTTTAATTTTTAATAAGTATGAAATTCTTCAAATATTTGCAGAGATATGACATCAAAGAACAACCAGAAGTCAGGTAGTTTGCTAGATAATAAAATGGTCCAGTATATCTCGGAACATTTGAAGAACTCGGGTGTGGATAAAGTGGAAACAATCCAGTACAGTGTAGAAGTTATCTCCCTTGATCCAGAAAATCCTTCTTCTATAACACTGAGAAAGAATGACCAGGAGATATTATCATTACAATATGGAAACAAAAATCCAGCAGGACAAAATAACTCTGAGCTGGGAGAGGAAGACCCAGTGGTAGCAGTTCCAGGGAGGGCAACGGTGAGGGTTATCACATTTTGGGGGAGGGGGTTTCAACCTCCCTTGGCTATATGTACAGGAAATTTGAGAAATTTTTAGCAAATTTGTGTGAGCAATATCATTTGTTATATTTATTAGTATTAAACTATACCTATTTCACTGTTAAAAATGTTATTGATAAATAATATGTTAAAATAGCTCAAGTAAATTCTCTTAAAAAGTACTAAATAAATGAAATGTTCATGTAAATTTCTTCTCTTAAAGTAAATTAATTTACATATTTCATGATCCTGAGGAGATCTAGAATTTTATCTCATTTATATATTTAATGTTAGATAAACATGATAAACAGTCAATATACATGTTTTTAATTTTTTTTCATAAAAGGTTATAAATTATATCAGAAAATTATTTTTTTTATATTTCTAGGGAAATCTTGTGTATGGATTTTATGGCAGAAGACAAGATTTGTATTTTGTAAAGAAAGCAAACATCACTCTAAAAGACAGTGTTTTACTTCTAAAAATTGGAAGAACTAGCATCCTAGAAAAGGTGAGGTTTGTTTGTTCCTTTGGATACAGTAGAACTTGCTTATAAAGAACTTATATCATGTCTAGAAAGATATTTGGTTTATCAGGGAAATTTATCTTTTCTACATCCTTCATATCATAATCTTTTCTTGACAGAGAATTTCAGTGATAAAAAGAACTATAGATTAAAACAATGATGTCTCAAGGACCTAAGCTGCTATCATATTTTTAGCGGTGTGCTAATTTTGGCTTAGTTCAGTGGTTTTGAAGTAGCTTGCAATCAATCTCTAAAATTTTATTTGATAAATTTGCACCTTTATATGTAAGTTCTGAATAAAGGTAAAGTAGCTTTGCATGGTTAGTTTGTTGTTAAACATAAATTAACGTTTTAATTATACAGTCATATCTGCAATTTATTTCCCAAAAGGTTTGACAACAAATTATTTCTTATTAATAACTTGTTAATGATATCTTGACAGTTATTTGAGAAAGTGAGACTTTAGGCTTAACCTAATGATTCCCCTACACTGTCTTTGGAATCTGGTTTTTTTTCCTATTTGATTGGAAATTGGAAGAAAAAAAATTATTCTTTTGCTGTCAGTTGTATTTAAACTCTTTGTTCCTTATTTTATCAGTTCCATTATTTTATCAGTTCCATTTCACATCAAAAAAAATTGAATTGCATATGAATAAATATACATGTAACTTAAACCTTAAATTTCTTGGTTAATTAATCTAGAGTATTATTCCACACACCTAACTTAAGCCACAGATGAAGTATTAAATTCAATGTTTCAGTTGAGGGAATATGAAAAGAGTCACCGTCATAAATTACCGTATTATCCCTATTAACCGCCCCTGCCCCTATAAGCGCCCCCTAGGTCATTTTCAATTGTCAGGAAATAAGAGCCACCTGTACAATGATTAAAATCATCTAGCATCGTATCAAAAGTCTGCCAAAATTTGAAGAAAGTGAAAATGAAACATGTCTTTTATCCAATTTCTCGATGGAAAATGAATCATTTAGCATAATTTGGGTGGATTATCTTCACGTAAAGTAAAGTTAGACATTATTTAGTGGTTCTTTGAATTTATTATTTTTTCAAAAGATTTTTTAAAGTTAAATATGACATTAAATGTTATAGAGAGAATACCTAAATAACCGCCCCCTTTTCGCAATTTTCCAAGCGCCCAGGGCGATTAATAGGGATTATACGGTATGTTTCATTTCATCAATCAATCCCCCCCCCTCTCCTGGTTCTAAGGGCCTGTCCAGTCAAAGAGGTTTTATATTCACAGAATATTACAGTAAAATTTGTCTAATCTGAATGTTGAATATTCTGAAAACTTGTTTTTGTTTGCTGGCCTGGTGCATCCAGCTGCACTTTGATAAAGAAAAAATATTATCCATATGCAGTTTTGCTTTAAGAATATTATTATTTTTATTAAATAAAAAATCCAGCAATAAAATTCTAATATTAATTTTCTCAGTTTTAAGAGATATTTGAAACAAATTTTAATTGAAATTCTAGATAACACTTAATAATTCATTCATGCTCTGGTTATAAGCAAACACTTCCATAAAAGTGCATTTAAAAATCTTAAGTCAATTGATTCACTACCTTGGTATTTTAAAATTTTAATGTTGTTTTGATTGGTGAGTTTTGTAGATGTTGCCGAACATAAAAATCCTTGATTTATTCTCTTCCCATTGCCCTATCAATTTTACCATATAATTAAATATTTGATTTGCAATTTCTACCTTTGGAAAATATTTATTTCAATATAGCGAGTGTTAATAATATTTAAGTGAGACTTTTAAAATTTAGTTTCTGATTTTCCTTTTCAAGTTTCATGAAAGAATTTCATTTTTGGATTTTATTGAAGCCCTCAAGTCTAATTGAATGGCATATTGACTGATAAGGCAAATTTTTGGTTTTATGGAGATTTAGAGAGCAGTGGTCAAAAACAATATCTTTTCCCTGAGATATTAATTTGTTCTATATACCTTTGTTTAAATAAGGATCAAGAGGTGAATGACGTTAATCGATTTTGGCATTATTAAAAATTGACCTCTAAATATTTCATTTAATTTCCTCTAATGAAAAAGTGAAAGGAATACACAGGTGTTTCTGGTACCTACAAGTCGATCTATATTAACCCCACAAAGCTCTCCACAGACACTGAATGAATCAGAAGTTGATTTCTGTAGTGATATTTTTACAGGTATTCCTACCTGGGATTATAAAGGAAAGGGTCAGGGTGTTTTATCTTTTTTGAATTGGACTCGATTTTTCTTTATATAAGTAAGACCAGAAATGGTACCATAGGAAAATAAATGTTCCATCCAAAAGGTCTTTTTCACATGTGTTAATGAACATGTACTTGTATATCTGATATGTCTCTGCGTTTTTTTTATTTACCTCACGTTCCTCTTTTTGCATGACCTCCTTATTGAAGAGTATCCAATCCAAAGAAGTCTTTTCACATGTGATCTTCAAATAATAATGTCAATACAGATTACAAAAAATTCATACTATCACTCAGTCCATCGTTAATATTTTGTGCATAAAAAAAGACTATTTTCGTGGTCCTTCAATTTTTCAAAATATTCACAAGGAAATCAAAAAGATATCAATGCAGTCTGAAAATTAAGAGGCCATTTTCTTAATCCAAATCATTATTTTAAAGTTTAAATTTCAGTGAAACATGAACTATATTGGTAAGGTCCTTCTAACTATTAGTTATGGCTAGATCTTAATTGAAATGCGATCCAAGGAAATATTTACCTATTCATTTATTGTTATAGAGACCTTCAAAAATTTCATCTTTTTACCTCAGGCTCATGTAATTTAAATTTTTCATTGGTATAAAAAGAAATGTGCGAAATATCATACTTTTGAGATTTTAGGATTAAGGTCAAGATCCAAGTATTTTTATGCCATTGTAAAAATGAAATGTAATTGAGAACGCTATAAAAATGAGGTATTTTATTGTTCGTCTTGGAAGCATTAGATGTAAAACCTATTTGTCTTGTTTATGACATTTTATTAATGCAGTTGTAATGGTCTTGTTGAATTGAAAGCAAAGGGGTCTTCTCGACATTCAAAACTTCTTCCCTCACATAAATTATGCACTTGCCTAGCATGGAAAGAATTTACATGTTCTAAGTAAGTGCATCTTAAGGGAGACAACTCTTTGATATTTTCAATCTAGTGTGTAGACATGGCACTTTAATAACATGATAATGAAATCAAATGAGGGAGATCAATAATTGCAGTGGAAAGGGATACAATTGCAATTTCTTATTTGTCCAGTTTCTAATTGCAAGTAAAATTTTTATTAGAGCCCATTGTAATATATGAATTGAAAATTCAAGTTGACATTCATTGTGCATTAGCAAATGTGCCTGTTCTTTATCTATACAAATATTTTTTTCTTACTGAAAGTATATTTCAATTACATTAGTTTAGGTTTTTACTTTCAAAAATTAAAATTAATCTTTTTTTTTTCTAGCTGAGACTGGCAGCCTCAGTGGAAGTGTCAGGGATACTGCTGTATCAGGACCCCTCCCACTACCCCGCATCACAAGAGGAACTCTACTCTGCCTCTCACCAACTCAGTAAGTGAAATCTACAACATACTGGTATGGATTCTGTATCATGAATTTTTTTAAAAGCTTCCAAGAGAGTTATTTAGAGTTATCAAATTTATTTCATGTGTATAAACATGATATATGAAAACTTTTAAAAGGTTTAAAAAGGTTATTTTAAAATTAACGTCAAGCGGAGTAATACGTTTTTGACGTAACTCATTGTGATGTAGGCAAGTTATGTTATACAAAATGGATAAAACCGTTTAACCAATAAAATGATGTGCTACAACTAAAATTAAATTATTTAGAGTTATCAATTTATTTCATTAATTTAATTTTGAAAACTTTCAGGAAATATTAAAGTAGTCGTTATAGACTGCATATATTACATTTTCAAAAGATTTTTGCATTCACACTTTCTTTTTCTACTCAACAATGAGTTATTAAAGCTTTATTTATATAAAAAGATACAGTAGAAATTCCATATACAATATTACCCCCCACTTCTCTAATAAATTTTTACATGTTTTTCATGGTTTGATTACCAGACAATTATTTATCCAGTATTTTTCTTTGGATATAAGTCTAAAATTTTTAATTTAAAATTCAATTTTTTTAAGGTAACAAATATTTTCCGATACCAGTACAAGTAGTTTCAAGGCGTGATGCAGATAGTCTACTGAAATCTCTTCAGAATGAAGGAGTTATTGCCCCTGAAGAATGGGTAACTCCTGCAGGGGTTAAACAATATATCGGTGTAATCCCAAACAAGACAAGTAAGTTTGAATTCATCTAATGGACTTTTTTCTTCATTTTAAATTTGAGGTAGTCAGTCCATTTGGCTAAATATAAAATGAAAATATAAATTTTAAAAAAATGACATTTAAAATTTTATATACTGAATTAAAAAAAATAATTTTATTTTTCCACTTTGACTTTAATTGAAGTTTCTCCGGTTGTTGTGGATCTGCAAGTGAATGTGGTACAGAGAGAGGAGACCATAACAAACGTGATGGGCAGTATATATGGGGACATGGAGCCAGGTGATTTATTTGTCACCTTTCTTTCTCTCCGCAGAGCTGAGACTCTCATTGAAATTGAGTTTTTAGTTAACCGGGGTAGATAAATGCTACTTCTTAGGTCACCTTGACAAAAACATGATGATTGAACTACATTTATTATTTATGTTAAACCAGCAGCATTCTAATAATTACCAAGTAATGCAATATTTTTTGAGAAGCTCTGAAACTACATGTATAACGTTATGGCTTGTTAGGATTGAATTAAATTATAACTTGCATAGATTTAAAATACAACTTTGAATGGACAAATGTTTTGGATGCTGGATCTAGAATATATTTTTCTGGATAAGGAACAGGTTAAAATTCGCAACTGGTCTATTCCAAAGAAACTATACAAGTCCTACATGTATTTAAATCAAAATTACAGGGATATTGATCTCACCAACTAGAAAATTTTTGTGTGAAATTTTATCTTTCTTATAGATTCATTCATTGAGCATGTTGAGGTGGGCTTTTTAATCTTTGATTACCTATTTATAATAATGTTTTCTTAAAACATTTGATGCTTAAACTGCCTTAATTTCAGATCGCTTTGTTGTTATTGGGGCCACAAGAGACGGACCATCAGGAAGTGATGAAGATGAAAACCTGGGCCTTGGGACTGCTCATATGTTGGAAATGGCTCAGGCATTCACAAATATAAAGTTATCAGAAAAGTGGGGCCCCAGAAGGGGTATACGATTCTGTTCATGGGGTGGTGGAAAAGAGCAAAGAGGACTAATAGAGTTCTTAAAGGTAATATCTTGGTATCAGTTTTCTTATTTTAATGACTTGTTTTATAGGATGATTTCTGTCATGCAAAACACTTGGAGGCATCATTCACATGACACTTTTTAGAGACTATAACACTTGGTATTGGATGCCTTATATAAATACAAAGAAATAACTGTAGCAGTTACTTTTAGGTGCAATAATGATCATGCAAAAGAAGATAATTTAAGGAGTGCATTGTGATAATAATTGATATCTGTATCACAATTTAAGTGGTCATAGTAAACATCTCGCATTCTCTCACATTTACTGCATCATCAACAGATAATTATTGTACTCGCCACAAGTTGTTGGCTGAATGTGAATTAGTCGTATAATTCTTACCTCACCTCAAAAAAGTTGGGGGTAGGTTTTGTAATACCTAATCATCATCAGCATTGATGTATTAGGTAAAATTTCTTTTCAAGTCACTACAGTATATCCTGTATTAATCAGAGATGCATGAAAGATGCTTCAAGTCTATTTTATTAAATTGTACCAGTCAAAGTTTCAGATGTTGCAATTTCAGTCAAAGAATGACCAGGTTAATGTTTGGGGTTAAAGATTTTAGAGCAGGTTTCATTTCCAAGTAACTCTATGCCCAATATTAACCAAACTTGAACGGATAATTCATCTAATTATGCGTACTTATGCTGGATCTACTACATTTTCCAGATGAGTATAAATTAACTATAAACCCTGCACATGTATGATTTAATCAAACTTGCATGGATGATAATCTAAGGATGCACACTTCCAGGCTTGGTTTATAGATGCTGAATTTGACCTACATTTACAGATGATGGATAAGGTTAAAGCCCGAGATAATAAGCACCGCCTTCAGATTTACCTGGTCTGGATTCCCCCGTCAATCAAATAAATTAAGGACCATCATTGGGTACTTGAAAATGATTGACATTTAGCTGCTAGTCCCTGTGTATATCTTTTTCACCTTGTTTGACACGCGTGGCCACCTTCAAATTAACTTTCGGTCTTTTGATGTTTACCGCTAAATTACCATCCCAATGAGGGGTCATTTCGATGCAAACAATTTTAGCTTGATTATAATTGATTCTAATTATCTGTATTACAAACATTGAAAAATGAAAATGTTCTCAAAGTGTTTCAATAAAATAAATCAAGATAGTGTAATTTTTTTTTTAATGAAAAGTGCATAGGTGGCTGTAATTTTGTTTTTACTTGTAAAAAGATTCTTGGTTTGAGACGCAGCGAAAAAATTACGATGAAAATAAAGGAAAAAATAACCTGGTAACATTTTTTGCTTGAAATGGATAGTAAGGTTGACATCAAAATGTCTCATTAGTAACAACTTCGCCTGGACAAGTATTACAGTATTTAGAGTTTCTTTCTTTTCCTTTTCCCTTTTTATAACCGAGCATTTCTTGCTACGTGCTTTCTTACCTCCGTTCAAGGTCACAGGTGTTAAAAATAGTTTTAAAAGAAATATAGAAGTTAGCAATAAATCAAGATTTTGTTGTAAGTTTTTTAATTATAATCTGAATTTAGTTATCGATAAAATACACACATTTGTATGTAATTTTAACTTAACGAAACAGTCGTTATGGCGAATTTTTCACAAGATACAGAAAGTACATTTGCTAAAAATAGGACCATGCGACTTTTTATACAAACGGGAAGTAACTGTTTCTATTTGACCGTGATTGAAGATCTAATTGCTACGATATTTACGATAATTATGAATAGCTTTTAAGATTTTGAGTGTTTTACTGTTGAATTTATACCTGTATTTCATTATATTTCTTTTAACAATGAACTCAAGTCATTGATGCTGTGACAAACAATATGAGGTACATACCGTAGATTTTGTTTTTTGTTTTTTTTGTTTGTTTTTTTTTATACAAAAGTCGACCGGTGAGATTTCTGCTTGTTTTAATATTTGTTATGTCAGAAATTATTTACAATGATCATTTATTATTACTAATGATATTTTTTATTCACGATGTCGAGATTTACTAATTTTACATGTATGATGAACAGAAGCCCAGCAAGCTGTACAGGTTATACTCATTGACTTCCTGTGTATACTGTTTGTGTATAGGGATTAGCGCTTCCCACGGTCTGCACGACCATCAATGCCTCGGGGTACCATGCTTGTAAAATTTAGTCCCTCCCCTTACCTGAGAAAACCGCACGGTTAAAAATCTCGGCCTTTAAAGTTGTTGATAAGTAACTAACAGCCCTATGCTTCAAACTAATTGCATGGTAGATACATATATATTGATGCACAGCCAAAAGAGTTTAGATGCAGAATTCGACACAAAGTTTGCAGATGAGTAAACGGGTTGAAGTATTTGGAGTATCTAGCCATAGGCCATAGACCAAGAAATTATAAGGCTTATCTTAACCAAACTTGCATGAATTAATGTATAGGCAACCCAAACCTAGGCTTAGTTCTTTAAGCTGTATGATTTCAACTATTTTCTTTATGTTTGTTTCAGTCAAATCGATATGTTTTCGGAGCACAGACTATAGCATACATTGACCTTGACCTCTACATAGAAAGGTCACTAGCTGATGATACAGTGTTTGAAGTTTCCTCAAACCCAGCCCTGAATAGACTCATCCAACATATTTTACATCAGGTAAGAATATTCTAATACATGTACCGTATAAGCAAAATCAAGATCACTAAATTTGAATATCGCTAAAAATTAATTGTGCTTTATTTGTAATAGCTTCATTAGTGAGCTTTTTAAAATCCCTAAAATTACATCTTGCTAAATATAAAATACTTATTTTTAAGGACATATCGCTAAATTTGCATCTCCCTAAAATTTCCACTTATACGGTAGTCACTAGTATTTTTATTCATAATCCTAAAAATAAAATTAGAAAATGGGAAGTCATTCATTCAGTGGAAAAAAAACGGAACTGTTTTGTAGGTTCCTCATCCTGAAGGTAAACAGCTGAGTATAGCAGACTGGCAGTTTGACAAACTCGTCAGTCAGTTTGTAGCGCACGGAAATCTGGTAGTCCGCAACATGGTGCAAAGGCTGGGGGTACCAGTTGTCAGTGTCGCATACCGAGTCAGTCAGAATTCTGTAAGTCATATGTCTTAAACTGATCATGATTTTAGATACACTGTTCTTGAATGTTTTTGAATTAAAATTACTAGAGTAAAAAAGGTGAAGATCAACACATTGTTCCATTCGGTCATGCTTATTTAGTCATTTTAATACTGATGATTTAAAAACAGGAAAATCCATTGAATTATAAGTATGTCTTCTTATTTGAAAGCAATCTTTTATAAACAGATATCAATAATTTCTTCTGGTTTAATCTTATGGTAAATAAAACTTCATTTCTAATTTAGGCTAAAAAAAAATTAATTAATAGTTTCTCATGCCAAAAAAATCAAAATTCAATGCGGCAGGCAGGTCAGGTTTTACCTTTTAAAGCGAATTCTTAATAAAATGATAATAATATCCATTTTTGTTCTCTGAAATTGTTATAATATAAAAATATATTTATAAACATTTATTTAAAAGTTAATTAATGAAATATTGTAAATTTAAAAGAAATGTTTTGTTTTTCTAATAAAAACGTCTGTCTTAGCATTTATAAAAAGGGGAATAACTCAATTTTTTTTTCAACTTGCAAAAGTAGAAAATTAATTGAGTTATTTCCCTTTTCAAAATGTCAATAAAATTGATCAATGTGGCTGTTTTTGAACTGATGCGGCAGTGCCTGAGAAACTATTGATTAATTTTTTTTGGCCTTATTTTAATGATGTGAGCAATGTGATAAAACTTATATTAAACAACTATTTTGCTTTAACCTAATACATGCATGATAATTACTGTCACTGTGGTATATTAAACAATGTTTTCACAAACAGGATAACAAAGAAACCTCATCGGTCCTTCGTGACTCTCTTCATCATGACCAGTACCACCTTGCCGCCGCCAGAGTTATCTCCCTTTTGGCTCTTCATCTGATGGACAATTACCACCTTCCTCTTGACATGATCAACTACACCAAGTTTATTCATGATGTTTTTGCCAGAAGTCTTGTTGATCTGTCAAATGCTAAGGAAAAAGTGGATGTTGGTAAGGGTTTTACATTGATCTCTGATGAAAGGTCTTGCAAGTTGGAACTCCTTCTCTTTGCGTTATTTTCTTTTATGTCCTAGCTGTTAATTATCTGTGTCATTATTTTTCTGCATGACCTTATTATAATAACCTTACCTTTGACCTCAGTTTACCAACTATTAAACAAAAGTGCAGTTGTTTTTTTTTCCAATCCATTAATACCTGACTCGAACATTCAAAGCCTATTAACATATATATCTGGATAGAAAAAAAAAAATCTAATTTGAACATGTCTTTTACAATTACAGAAACATCTATCATGTTACTATACATTTTACATTTTTTTAACCTTTTTTCCTTTTAAATTACTTTAAACAAAAATTTACTGCTTAGCACATACTTAAGTCTGTGTGTGAAATATGTAACTAAAAAACTAACACTGTTGAATTAATAGTACATGTATCTTGAGTGCACTGCCCTTTATCTTTAAAGTACATGTATTATGGATACATATGTCAAAGTGATTTTGAAGTCCCAACCACCCAATTTCTAAAATCCTTTGATGTCTTAATTAGATTTTAATTGCACAGTTCGATTGAGATTAAAATGATAAGGTTTGACTCTGTTACAATGTAGCAAATAAATGCTAAGGAAATAAAGTGCAAACTTGCACTTCAGTTAGTGCCGGTGTAGACAGTACCTATATAATTACATTGACGTATGTATTAATAACACTGCAAGCTTGAATAATATTATTGACGTATGTATTAATTACACTGCAAGCAATTACACTGCAAGTATTTCTAGGAAAGTTGCACGAATATATTGACGACTTGACACGAGTTGGAAAGGCTTTTGAGAATTATGTCACCTCGGAAGTTTACACCCAAGTTCCTCTCGGAAGTAGGAGAATGAACGATATCAAGATGGGAGTGGACAAAATCATGACTTCTCCACATGATTTTAGGTAAGCTAAAGTATCCTGGCTTCTATTTTATCTGATTCTTTGAATCAATCATCATTATGCATTTAATTTTTAGTTCGTTTTTTTTTTTTTTTCTATATTTTCTCAACAGTATGCGGCTGTCTGATGAACATGAAGATCAAATTAAAAAAAAAAACTTTTTGTGTTGTTTGCACATGCTGTTTTGAAAGTTAATGAAGGGAGATGTGTGCATACACTGTTAACAATTTAGGGAACTCCTGGCAAACCTTACATTTTGGTTAAACAAAGTTGAAACCATTAATTTGTAAAAAGAGTGTTTGATTAGTCATTCTCTTACCTCTAGGTATAGAAGTTCTCTGCTGTATGCCACAGCCTCTGATGGGAGTTCTTCTCTGATTAAGGAAGCCCTACAGGCAGCAGAAATCACTGGTGATTGGACAGAAGTGCAGTGTATTGTGAACACTGTTAACAGGGCTATACAGGAATTGAGGTCATATCTTCAGCTCTCCTGAAAAACGAAAACAATTTCCCCAAAAGGAGGTCAAATGAGAATTCTCGAAGTGCCAAATGTTACCCACCCCCCTGCAGATCTCAGTTTGCAGCATTTGTTTAGAGTTTATATATCTTCCTAAGAGAAGGCAATTATTACAGATAACAGCCAGAATTGAGACACTTAAATATAATGTATATTTGTGTATGCTGAAAGAAATGTGCATACTGTAAATCACTTTTTATTCGCGAGAACTTTATTTTCGCGTAATTACGCTTGGTAATGCGTTCGAGAAAATTTATTTCTCGCGTATAAAAGTATTCCATACGATTATATAGAGGAATAACAACTATTCGTGAAAATTACGTCTTGCTTACAAAGAGTCAATGACAATCTCGCGAAAATAAGGTGTCGCGAAAATTTAGTGATCTACAGTAATTATGTTCCCCAAACGAAGTTGGGGAACATATTGTTTTTACTCTGTTTCTTATTATTATTATTATTATTATTATTATTATTTTTCTTCTTCCTGGGAAAATTTTGTCCACGAGTGATCTTGTAAACTACACATCCGACTAAGGTAAAATGTTTTTAGGGTCAGTAGGCATGTTATGTAGATTTGCCAAACAAAGGTCATTTTGCGCGCACGTGCTTGCAAGAGCGCGCACGTGCAACACGTTAAATGGCCAATATAATGTATATTGCCTTTACTTTTCTATTTTTTGATGGAATGCTTTGAAACTCATAATGTATGGATATATTAGTATTAGACATGGTCAAAATGCTATCACGCGCATGCACGTGCGCTTTTATTGGTTAAAGTCTCAATATCTTTCTTGCTTTTTCAAAATCCTTTGAAATTTTTATGCATTAGGATATCCTACAACATGATATATATTATCATGAAAACACGTGCATGCACGTGAGCTGCAATCTGATTGGCTGAAACTTTAAATAGCTATAACTCGCTTGATTTTCAACCAAACAGGAGGGGTTTTGAAACATAGATATATATAATGGACTTCTACAAGAAGGTATGGTCACCATGCACATGCATACACGCGCATGTACGTGCGCTGCAATTTGATTGGCTGAAACTTTAAACAGCTATAACTCCTTTGGTTGGCAACCAAACAGGATGGGATTTGGAACATAAATATATATAATGGACTTCTATAAGAAGGTACACCATCATGCACACATTACGTGCGCTGCAATCTGAAACTTTAAACAGCTATAACTCCCTTTGTTTTCAACCAAACGGGGAGGGATTTAGAACATAAATAGATGTAATGGACTTCTACAAGAAAATATGGTAACCATGCTCATGTATGCTCGTGTGTGCACGTGAAAGGTTAAAATCAAAAATACACTTGAATGAGCGGTTTTTTTTTTATACTTTTGGATTAAATACTCTAATATTTAGCATTTTAAAATATATATAACTTGTGTAGACAATATGATATGGTCATTACGCACATGCATTCACATGCGTAAGTGTGCAATGATAAAATTTGAATGAACATGGTACACTTCTGGGTAACGTTGTTAAAGTCTCAAATGCATAGAGTTTGTCTTATTTAATGAAGCCTACAGGGAATATGACTATAAAAGGGAGTTGGGGAGCGTTTGTTTCAAACTATTTGTCTCTTTAAAATAGCACTAGTTGTCAAATGAATGCTTCATCATGTGAAATGTGTAATAAAAGGAAAAACTTAATTCGGTAATGTTTTGCACTTTTCTCCATGCAAGCATTACCATTTATAGTTTATTTGGTGCTATATGTCATTTATTGTTTAATCTTAATTTTTATGATGAGCAATATATATTTGTTGATGATTTCTATTTCATTCTTAACATGCATTCTTTTGAATTTGTGCCATCTGTAGTCAAGATATCATTTTCACACTATTACCACTGTTACAACAATGCCAAATTATGATATGTAATTTAAACTGATCTGTGGTATTGATGTACTTGGTATGCAATTACTTTAATAATGCATTAGCCACATTGTAAATATCATATCATGTACATTAAGTCTTGTTCATGTTTGTTTCAAACTGTCTCTTTAAAATACTACATTACTTTGACATATTGAAATCTTACAAATGTGTGCCATTTAATTGACTTAATGCAACTTGAATTCATTATGAGTTGTGACAGACATATACATGTCATGTATAATCTCAGATTAATTTACTATTTTTCAGTGCATCTGTCATTTCATATATAAAAATTTTGTCAGAGCAACTGCTCATTCCAGATGCTTGAAATTTTAACACAATCTTCTCTGAGGCATGCCATACAGTGGGATACATTTCTGGTCAAATCCGATGTCAACTTCCTGTTTGTGTGTCTGTCCATTTCACATAACAAATTTTTGTTGCAGTTTTCTCAGCAACTACTCATCCCAGATGCTTGAAATTTTAACCCAATCTTCTCTGAGGTATGTCATACGGTTGGATAGATTTTTGTTTAAATCTGATGTCAACTTCCTGTTTGTCTCTGCGTCTGTCCATTTCATACATATCATAGCAGATGCTTGAAATTTTGAACTCTTTGTTATATATGGTGGTATTAATTTTGATATGAATCTGTTGTCAATTTCATATTTTTCTGCATCTGTCTTGTGTATTAACTATGTTAACATGATAATATTTATTCACAACAGAGCGGGGTATTCCTAGTGAGCACTGGCTCAGATTTCTTGTTGACTTTGTGCAACTTGAATTCATTATGATCTGTGACCAACATATACACATCATGTATAATCTCAGATTAATTTATTGATTTAGTATTACTGTAAATATTAACAATGGACAATGCTAAGCCAGGATCACACTGACCACCCAAGATTTCTAGTCAGTATTGGTCAGTCATTGTGTAGCCTATAATTATTACTCAGGGAAGTGCAATTATTGTGAAAAGGGAGGTAACTCTATTAATGAAACAGATCATCCTTACAGCTGAACATCTTTTATCTGAAACCTAATTAACATTAAAAGATCCTCCTTTTTTACATTCAAATGATTTAGATATAACTGTATATAGCATTTTGAAACTGTTGTAAATAATTGTCTGGTATTTTCTTTGTACATTGGAATAAATTTGTGTAATAAAATGCAATAAATATTAATGTTTAAATAATTTGATATTTAATACTGGTGCTGGTTGAAAAGTTCTACCAGGTACATGTAGTTCTAAACTGCAGATTTTTTTTTTGTTCAACAGGCTGAAATAATTGCCATTTTCCTACTTTTTTGTTTTTGAATAATTCAAAACAAACACCTAATAATTATCAGTCAATAAGCTCCCTTAATGGATGCACCCCAATTAAAGGGTTTTCTCAAGTGTTATCAACTCATTGATCTGAATTATTTAGAATCAATGCTACCCAAGGATGTTTCCACACAAGCTTTAGCTTTTCTGACCTGGTGGTTCATAAGATTTTTTTTCTATATATTTCAAAGTAAAACTTGGGTTCTCTATTGTAGCTCCACCCTACCCTCATGGGTCATGATGTTAACAATTTAGAATTTAGACTATCCCAGGATGCTTCAACTAAATATCAGCTTTTCTGGCTCAGTGGTTCTGGATATTTTTTAAATGATTCCATCCTATTTTTGGATTACCTCCCCATGTAAGGGGCTTGGCACTTCATTTTAATAATTTAACATCCCCTTAACCCAAGGACGCTTTGTACCAAGTTTGGTTAATATTGACCTGTGGTTCTTGAAAAAAAAATTGAAAATGTGACGAGTTGACAGATGGACAATGAGTGATCAGAAAAGTTTATTGAGCTTTCCAGCTAAAAAACTTGCACGGTGGACAAGAATAAATACCTGTGACAAAATTACTAGATGTATCTTACTTTAAAATTCAAATAACAACTTCAACTTTATTATTTTCATAGATTTATTTTTATAAAACTGAATAATTCTGCCAACATTTATGAGAAATGATGTGTCTGCATTGAAAATCCATAAAGGTTTGCTACAGCACAGAAAAATATCAGTTTCTAAAAGTCTTACTACAATCTCCCCCATTCATCAACATATAAATCTTGCATACCCACTTTCATTAGCTCATATCCCAGCACTATTTTCAGCTTCTCCAACACACTTACATTGTACATGTACATTTGTACAGTAGTCATACTTACACATAAACAAAATTTACCTGTAATCAAATTAAAAGATGGAAACTTCCAAGTTTAATCTACTTGAAACATAGTATCACCACAGACTTATACATTACTGTGTATTGTACAGCATTAATAAAATCTTAGAATTTAAATAACATATTATTGTAAATCCCTTTGAGGAAACTTTTTTCAGACCTGTTAAAGTGCAAAAATATAATTCTATACATCCCTGCATCTACAACAATGCAATGCAAGTGACAAGGCAGGTAACATTTTACAAAACACTGGATACACAGGTTCGACATAAAACCTTACTCTGTGCCATAAATATGACAATAGAAACGCAGTAGAAAATTTTCATCACAACTTGATAGAGGTAAAATTCTTCAAAAGCCTGAATGTTTGAATTACAATCCCAAGAAATAAATGTGTCCTGGTTTAACTGAATACTAGCATTAGAAGAAAAAAATTCCGTCACTGCCAAAGTGTTCATTGCTGATGAGAAATCATTCCTGAAGGAACTGTCAAAAGTTCTAGGGACTAAGATGTTAAGCAACATAGTGATACTGATTTTGATTCTCTTTGTCTCTCTCCATATAGTCTCTATCAATCAAACTCTCTATCCTCTTCTTCAGATCCGCAGGCTGAAAATGCAATCAATAAAGACAAAATGTTAGTGCATAATCAGGCAGCATCATGGCATAATCCTACTGTACGAGCACATTATGCCATTTAAGTGATAACAATGCAGATACATGGATACAGAAACATGGGGGAAACAAGAAGCAAACTGTAGTGGTCCACTGATATGACCAACTCCGACCTTTGGGGCCCTCAAGACCTAAGAGCCACTTTTTGAATGGGGTTTCTCTGAAAAATGCATGAAGAAAAAGAACAGACAGCAATCAGTCACTTAAAAAACTTGTGTGATCTAAAAATCTGAAAATTTAAACAATAAAATGCTTTCTTTGTTTTTTATTACTGGAATTAACGTTCGCAGTTGTTGCAGAAAAAATACATAACCCGCATACTGAAATTAACGTTCGCAACTATTGCAGAAAAATTTACATAACCCGCTTATGGCGGGTTATGTATTTTTTCTGCAATAGCTGCAAACATTAATTCCAGTAATAACAAAGAAAGAAAGACATTTTATTGTTTATATTCATATCTGTTTAAATAATCATTTAAAGTAGGATTAAAAAGATTAATTATTGTATTAATGATGCAAACGTCTTTATACGTTTCATTGATGGAACAGCCACTGATCAAGAAATCTGTACAGGCAACATGCCTAATGTAGTTCATGCAGTGATTAACGCAATGGGTTTTCTTAAGAAATAAAGGAGAAAATATTCAGTGGATGTAAATATATGAATATGAAATGAATTTTAACTTAAAAGTACTCTGTAGTATACAGTCATGACCAAAAATCTGCGTGCTGAAACTGTGTCATAGAAGATGTTTGAGAATGTGTGGAAAATATAATTTAACAGCAGGTTTACCTTGACAGGAAACTTGAGTTGGTTGTAGAGTTCTGATATAAGGAGGTTATGAGTCAGTGTTTTCCGAGTCTTCATTATCCTGACGATCGCTGCGTCCACCTGGTACTGGCGGTCCTGGAACACTCTCTCTGTTGTGGTGGTGTTCTCTTCTGGCTATAAAGGTACAATTACAATCAATACTGTTAATCAAAATGTCATTCTTTAAACTTACAGGTACTACATGTTTAGTTTGAATATACATTGAATTCAGCATATAAATAAATGCACTTTCAATACATGTATAGATTTACTTTGGGTGCGAAGTTTTTTATTTTTCAATTTAAAACTTAGCAAATACTAATTTCTCTTTTAAAAAATTTCCATCTGCCTTCAAATCAAAATTACTCTTCAAGGCTTTGCAGTTCTTGAGGAGATTTTAAAAGATTTTCTCGAGGAGGTTTTCAAAGATTTATTTACATGTATATTCATAATTTCTTTGTAAACTTTTGATTGCAGATTATAACTCTCGAAATGTTGTTTGAAATATAAAAGCCTCAGCTAACGCCTCGGCTTTTATCTTTCAAACAACATTTCTCGACCTCAGAGGTTATCCTGCAACATTCACAAAACTTGGATTTTATTTCTTACTTCCACAGGTCATGAAGAATGATTACACTTTTTTGTAAAGAAAGAAAAAACATCTTTTTAGCTTACTGTCTCTTTCAACTGTATTTGGTTTATCTTGATACGGTACAGCTTATGTTTAAAGCCAGTATTTAACAGGAATTTGTCACCTTTCTCCACATCTTTGCCCTAAAACATAGAGAAATCGGATATGTTGTGAAACAGTTACAATTTAATCCTATCACTGATCTATAGAAGAACATCATTAAACAATCAGAGACTAAGTTTGGAAAGTAATTAAGACAAAAAAGCTCTTTAATAGTACATGTACATACATATTTATATATCATGAAACTGTGCTAACATTCATCTGGGAAAAACCCAATAAAAACTGAAATTTTTACCTTAGGATTTTTTATTAGGACCCTGGCTTTACCACAAGCAAGAGACTGTAGTGTTCTCTTTAGCTCCCCTTCCTCTGCAGATACAAAATCAAGTCATTAATTGCCACTTTACCTAACATACAGTTTCAAAAATTATACTTTAATTTTTTTTTTAATTCTTTCCCTTATTGATATGATTTTTCAATAAATTTCATATAACATAATTACATTGTAGTATACTATAATAATCTGACTTTACAAGTCTGCATTTAGTAGACTTAAAAATCTGCCGCTGAAGCTCACCAATAGCTGTGGCTGTTCTGATATCCTCAAAAGAGAATTCATCTCCATCATTGAACAACAAGAGACACAGAGTTTGGAACAGAGACACCTGGAGTTCCTTTTTCCCTCCCTACAAAGGAAAAAAAATGTTATTTGTTCTGTTAGAAAAACACAAACCGTTTCTTGAATATTATTCTTTTTTTAATTAAATAAAAATAAATTCAAAATATTTTATAATGCACTAGACCACACATTAAAAACTAATTATCTATTCATTTTATCAAGAAGACGAGAACAATATCTCCCCTTTAGAAAAATAAGTTCTCCACTTACATTTTTATTAATCTGATGAGGTAAGATTCATTCATGAATTTATTATTCAAATTAAGTACAAGAATCTAGCCTCCAAGTTAAATTTCAAATAATTTTGAATTCAAAGCACTTGTCATGAAACCATTTGATAATTACCAAAGTGAGCAAGACTGGTCATGATGTTGCGAAGTCATCCTAGTAAATCTCTAACGAGAGATATTCAAAGTTACAGTGTTCATTTTTAGTAACAAATTTACTTTAACTAATTTTTTTTTAAGTTTAATTCAAGGAATTCAAGTTTGAAATAGAAACATGTATAAGGAATGGAACCCCAAAACCGGAACCTTAGTCAAATATTTACTGAAAATGCCCAACCTAAAAAAAAATTGTGAAGCATGACATCCCTATTTAAATTTAATATTTACCTCTGCAAACTTGGCTTTGAGTACACAGTGTCCCAGGGTGGACTGCCACTGTAACTTCTTACCACTGTGTTTACTGTAGAAAAAGTGCTTGAAGATTTCCTGCAGCTTCACCATCTAAAAAAAAGACTCTCTAATACCACATCGCTCACCTGAGCACTGTGGCTATATAAAGCAGAATTGGTTTATACTTGAAAAGCTTAAATCCAAAAGTAGTCCCATGACCAATCCTGGCTTTGCTATTCTTGAGAAGAAGATTTTTAAAGAATTTTCCTATACATTTCTATGTAAAACTTTGGTCGGCCATTTTGGCCCCGCCCTACCCCTGGGGGTCATGATTTGAACAAATTTGAATCTACACTACCTGAGGATGCTTCAATATAAATTTGATCAATTATGGCTTTGTTGTTCTTGAGGAGAAAATTTTTAAAGAAATTTCCAATATATTTTTTAAAACTTTAAATCGGCCATTTTGGCCCCACCCTACCCCTGGGGGTCATGATTTGAACAAACTTGAATCTACACTAAATGCTTCCATATAAATTTGATCAATTATGGCTTTGTTGTTCTTGAGAAGAAGATTTTTAAAGAAATTTCCTATATATTTCTATCTAAAACTTTGCTGCCATTTTGGCCCCACCCTACCCCTGGGGTCATGTTCTGAACAAACTTATCTACACTACCTGAGGATGCTTCCATATAAATTTGATCAATTATGGCTTTGTTGTTCTTGAGGAGAAGATTTTTAAAGAATTTTCCTATATATTTTTATGTAAAAGGAAAAAAAATGGCCCCGCCCAATCCCCTGGGGTCATGATTTGAACAAATTTGAACTACACTACCTGAGGATGCTTCCATATAAATATGATCAATTATGGCCTTGTTGTTAATTAAAAAAAATTTTTAAAGAATTTTAATATAGACCACACATTAAAACTTATCGGCCATTTTCTATCCCCTGGGGTCATGATTTGAACAAACTTGAATCTACACTACCTGAGGATGCTTCCATATAAATATGATCAATTATGGCTTTGTTGTTCTTGAGGAGAAGATTTTTAAAGAAATTTCCTATATATTTTTATGTAAAACTTTAGCCTCCAAGTTAAATTTCATATAATTTTGAATTCAAAGCACTTGTCATGAAACCATTTGATAATTACCAAATTATGATCAATTATGGCTTTGTTGTTCTTAAGGAGAAGATTTTTAAAGAAATTTCCTATACATTTTTATGTAAATCTTTGGTTGGCAGATATTGGCCCAAAGTTACAGTGTTCATTTTGAACAAATGAATCTTTCACTAATTTTTTTTTTAAATTTTAATTATGGAATTCAAGTTTGAAATAAAGAATTTTCATATATAAGTAAAATGGAACCCAAAAACCTGAACCTAAATCAAATATTTACTGAAAATGCCCAACCTAAAAAATATTGTGAAGCATGGCATCCCTTATTCAATATTTACCTCTGCAAACTTGGCTTTGAGTACACAGTGTCCCAGGGTGGACTGCCACTGTAACTTCTTACCACTGTGTTTACTGTAGAAAAAGTGCTTGAAGATTTCCTGCAGCTTCACCATCTTAAAAAAAGAAAATTCAAAAGGTTTACAACTCTATATACAGATGTAATTTTAGTCTGAAGAGATATTTGCAATATTAGATTTCTTTCCTGCTTTCTCTACTCCTAAAAAATATATGATACTTGAACATAAAGAATAAAATGCAAATCCTGACCATGCCCAATTCAAAATATTAAAACAGGATATTCTTATGTACATTATCTTATAAAGTTTAATCAAACTCTGTGTCTCACTTTTGCAATAGGATTAAGAAAATAAATGTGTTTTTTAAGGGGGAGGGGGGTCCAGAGAATATTGTAATATCCTCATAGAAACAAATACTGTGACCAAGGCTGTAACAAAATGAACTCTCGGGTAAACTGGCCTTGAAATTAAGGGTAAAAATTTGTATTCAAGTTTAATTATATCCTTTCCATTCATTTCCAAAATTTTTCAATTTTAATGTACATTCTATTTATATATAATAGTTAGAGTACAAGCTGATCTATCAAATTTTATACATCATTTATATTTCAACAAGTTTCCCTTTGAATAATAAAAAGAATTCATTTGCTGTATATACAGCATATAATACATTCAAGGAACAACTTTGTTGTAAAATTCCAGATGTAACAACATAACGTTAGCGTTTATTTGTAACTACTTGGATTTCTGTTGAATGATGGTGAGTATACTTACATCTGCCGGTAGGTGGACCTCCATAGGTGTGTATGTAGGCCAGTACCCCATGGTCAGAATATTGACGGTCATCTCTATGCCCCCAGGACTGTCCACATTCTGCATGTGCTGGAAAATTCAACATAAAACAGGTTCAAGGGATTGCTTACATTACATTCACTTTATAGAAATAATTAGAGAATCATCGTTTGTCTTTTAAATTAATTACTTGTCTTTAAATACATCTTTAAGAGACTGTGTTCTACCTCAATAAAGAAATTCAAGCTATAATAAATTATTATAAAACATGCCAATGGATGAGAGTATTTTGAAAATGTTAATTAAAACTGACTGTGAAATAATTTGATTGGAAATATACATTTTAACTTCAATTTAGAACTATTTGTGACATTTTACTAGATTCAATACAAAGAGTACTGCATAGCCACCTGTTTGAAAGACAAGTTAAAATCTTTGGAACATTCCATGTCTTTGAACATTCCCTCCAGTTTGCTTGTGAAGGCTGCTCCACACTCTGTAATACAAAAAGAATTGTTGGTAATTACATGTATGTACATGTACATTTCTATAAGCTTAAAGAAACATGTTTACCTTATTTCTCCTGGCTAAATTCATATTTCAAATTTGCATTTTCACTTGTTTTATTTTCCTTCATCATGTTCGATTGTTTCTGTATGCATATGAAACTCTATCACTGATATCTTGACATCTGCTTAAAATATCTTAGCTACTTAAAATTTATGCACTTTATATGTATCAATACTTAAAACTGCTTAGAACAGTATCTTCACCTTGTTTGAGTTTGGATAACATCGATTTCTCAGCATCCACGGATGCACTCTTTCCAACCAGTAAACGCTTAGCCAGATCCTTTTTGTAAAATGCCTCAAAGACATCTTTTCCTACAATGTAAAACATAATTTCTTTGAAAATTCAAAATGAATTCTTAACACAGCAATTTTTTTTCTTTTGTTTCTGATTTACATTTTTTTTATCTCTGCAAGGCAGAACTAATTTGAAAATTCAATATCGCTGATTAATATAATTTCTTTCAAAATTTCAATCAATTCAACATATATTTTACCATGTATAAATCTAAATAGCACCATGATTTTATCCATCAACCTCTCCAATTCTTCTTCTGTGGCTTCCTGGAAATTACATGTATAATTAATAAATGAAAATTACTACATGCAAGACAAAAACAAGAACATGCTATGGGAATCAGTGAAAGTTCATTGTTCACTTCACAGAATCTATAGACATTTGACAATGTTACCTTATTTCCTGCTTTCAATTTAGAATCAACATATTTGGCTGAAAATAAAAGGAACAGTTATTAATTTTTATTTTAAAAAAAATTTATCTTTATTATTTAAAAGTGTTTGAAAGTAATGTGTTTTGCATTACAAGTGAATGAAACTAAGTGCTAAAATGTTACCTAAATTAATTTTTACTAACAAGAAAAACATGAAAACTGAAATTCAATACTCTTTAAGAAATCATCTTGATTAAATTTTAGGCAAGTTTTAAAAAATTCTTTAAACACTGATACTCATTACTATTTGGCCAAGTACTGTAAAATCACATATTTTCGTGGTGTCAAATTTTCATGGTTTGAGAAAAAACTCTTGGTTCGTGGGGATTTGAATTCGTGGATGAAGAATTGCTGAGTAGTTATGTATGTAACATTTTACATTTTGTGGTGGACATGAATTCGTGGGTCTCTTTATACCTCGAAAACAACGAAAATTAAACCCCCACGAAAATTTGTGATTTCACAGTAAGTAAAATGTACCTATCAACTCTGCAGGTTTGTTTTGTCGTTGATTGATGAACGTCTCAAAGCTCTCCTTCAGTGCATTGACAAATTTCTCATTTTTAGCGAAGCATACATCAATGATATTGTCCATTTTGTCCTTGAAGTCCAGTAAGTTCTGAACCATATCTTTATCTTTCTCTGCATCATTGTCTGGGTTCATTACTATGGTTTTACCTGTAAGCTGAGAGTCACGTATTCAACATTTATTTTTTATAGTATCAGCCATCATAAATTTTTTTTATTATAGGATTTTTTTCCAAGCAGTCTTCATTAGACTTTAGATGTTTCTGTTGTCATCTAAATCCCCTTGGTGTTTGTTGTTTTTCTGCCAGTTATAATATCAAGAGGATGTGCTGTTGTAGAAAATATATGCCGTAAAAGTTAAGCCCTAAGGACTTCTTGTTTTACAGAAGAAATCAAAAGGGGGGCTGGGGTAATAAGCAGGGGATGACAAATCCCTTTGCCCAACACCCGGGGCTAGTGAATTTTAGGGAAGAGCAAGTGAAATTTTATCAACAACTTGCCTGTGGGCAAGTGACATCAAAAATAAAATCAATATGTAAGACTTAACATTTAAACCTGGGCATTGGGGCTTGCATGATCTACTCAGTATTTGTCTTCCTCTTTTTAAAAAAAAAAAATCAATACAATACATGTATTAGTTTATGGTAGGGCAAGCAAAATTTCAGGTAGGGCAAGTGAATTTTGACCATGCATGTACTTGCCCTTGGACAAGTGCCTTATAAATTTATTTTTCAGCCCCTGATAAGTTAAAATTTCACAGCATTTCCAGTCCATTTTCATATACAGTGTATTACCTTGATATAACAGGCAAAAGAAGTGCACATTTCCTTTAGGCCATCTTTAACTCTGGAAAACAGCTGATACATCAAAGTTAAATCCTTGATTCGGTTTTCAGTTAACAGTTGATCCAGACCTGATTTTTTTTAAAAAATGCAATTTAAATGACAATTGCACAAGTATAATGGGCAAGTACATGTAAATGATATTCTTTTACAGGGTACTGTAAAACAACTATTATTTGCGATTCGTCAGTTTAAAATCAATCCACACCGATTAATTTTCATGAATAAGGAAACATTTTCTACAAAAACAAAGCAAAATAAATGGTTTGTGGCGATTAATATTCATGACTTAAAATAGGTCGCAAAACTCGATATTTCTCGCACCCAAACAAAAGTTGGTTTATGATATTCAAAACTGCTTGAAAAAGGTGTAGCAAATTATTTTATAAATACATGTACATGACATGTATACATATATACATATTTAAGTATATGTACTAAATGTACATGAATATGTATATTTGTTAATAACAATCAATTCATACCCAGTAAAATTGTGTAAAACTGAAGTATGAATGGTCATGTTTTGAATATTTGAATATTTACATCTTGAATTTTAGGATCTAGTGTTATCAAAAACTTTACAAAGTTCATATAGAATATTATCTAGCACTGACTTTATCTCTTTATTGGTTACAAGGTTAACATTATGTTAGTTAACACTCTCATTTAAATTTGCTTTACTCCATACACTCAAGCCTATCCTTCTGGTTTATTTTTCTCCTGTCAGGAGAATATCTAATACATCTCAGATTGATTCTAACCTTTTTGCAGTATTTGTGTTAAATGTTTCTCCAGTAACTGCTTCTCGACACAGCTAATGACTGGTTTCCTGTAATTAAAGAAGGTGAAAATGAAGCTCATCAAACAGAGGGAAAATTAATCATTATAACATCCTTTATACATAAAAATTTCCAAAGGGGTTTTAAACTAAAGAAAATTTGCTATGGAAAATCCAACTAAAGACAAACATATTGTAGAGAAAAAGCTCTCCAAATACAACCTTGAAAATACACTATTTATGCATCTCGAATTCAATGAATTTCTTTCACTTCACTTACGATTCAGAAAGTTACAGACTAAATAAAACTGACTTTGTCAGATTAATGTCTTAGGTCAATTTCAGACAGCTCAATGAAATGGTTAGCATATGATTAAATATGTAAATAAACTTTCTGTAAAAAATTAAACAGGAAGTATACTTACTTGGTTGACATGTCAAGGTAATGCAGTAGTCTTTCCATTTCTTCCTTGATTCTTTTGTCTACATAGGCCAAGTATTCTGGAACCTGCAAAGAAAACAGATCTCATAAAACTCCTATCATATTCTACCAGTATTTAGAAAACAAAATTAGCCTATCATATAATACAACTTATATTACCAGAAAAATTTTGTTGTTACAATATATTACACATGAGGCCTAACTTTACTGTCACAAGTTAATTAATTGTTACAAAAATTTATGTAATTTGCCATGTAATGTATTCTTCTTTTTTTTGAAAGGAGATTTCTAACTGTTTCAATGCTTTGCGACATTAACTTAGGATCCATTATTTTCCTATGTCTAACTCAAGTACCTTTCAAAGAAGAACCCCATTTATGCTTGAATCATGACTTTATAAGAAATCATCAACATGAGTATTTCTGATTTGAATGTAGGTGCGTGGGAGTTCTAATAATAAAAGGCATGGCCCTTCTTTTGAGAAAACTAAAGCAATATAAGGGACCCTTCTTTACTTACATCTCTCTCCTGCATCAGCTGTTGACCCTCGGCTGCATACAAACGTTCAGTGGCTTCCAGGAATGAGTGTTCAAAGGCATCCACATACATCTACAACAAGTCAATGTCTCACAACCGTTAATATCTTTAAGATTGTTCAAGGAACTCTTGTGAATTCTATAAAGTACTATTAACAATACACAAACCAAACACACACACACACCTGTAAATCTGACAACATCCTGAGTAGACTTTTGATCAGCTGTCTGTCCACAGCTTCCCCGTTTCTCTCTCGTTCTATCAGCTTAAGAATGCCATCCACCGTCCTCTTCTGTACCACAGGGTGGAACATGATGTGTGTGCGGAACAGCTCCAAACCCATGTCCCTGCAATCACACAAACATTTCAGTTGCGAATTTATTTTGAATTGAGCAAAAAACTTAACCCTGCTGAAAAAATGTTTCAGACTAATGGGCTAAATGGAATATATTTAATGTTGAGAAATGTTTGTATGCCTATTGTATACCATAAAAAAGGAAATTTGGCACATAGGTATTTTAGCGCAAATGCAATTGGGAAAACATTGGCACACATAAATTTTAGTGCTTGCACTTGTCAATAAAATACATAAAATGTGATATTATACAATTATGGACTTCAGTGTAGGTCGATATGTGGTTATAAGGACTCAGGGCAATTGATACTGACTGAAGACACAGAAAGTGATAGCGACCGAGCCTGTCATTTTCTGTGTCTGAGGACAAAATCTATTGCCATGAGTCCTTATAATCAGATATTGACTGTTCAGTTAAGTCCATAATAGTTATATTATATAATCACTCAAGGTGAATGCACTGACACTGTCCTAACTAAACAGACTTGGCTGTCATTACGTCACAATGGTTAAAAACATGCTTCTTATATTATGACGTCAAGTTCTACGTCACTTCAGTGCAACCGAACGCTGTGTCATGCGATATCACTTTCCGCCGACGCGCTTTCGTGTAGATACCACAAAAGGAGGGATATCACGTGACATCCTTTCAGCCAATGAAATTACAATAATAATCTTCTTATATAATATTTTTTTTATTCACACCTGTACTTGACTTTTTGTTTAGTCAAGCAGGGAAAATGTACAATCACCTAGACGTGGCACAATGTTAAATTTTATTTCAATTTTATTTTAAATACAAGAAATGGTGTATTAATGCATTTTATTCATATTAAAACAATGCATACATTAAAAAAAAAATACCGGTAATTGGATAACTGTAATCATTATCAGGTATTGTCTGCAAGCTCAATTGCCATGCTTGCTTGCATTGTTTACCTCTAGGCGATAAATGATTGACACGCCAAGAAGCCAATCTTTGAAGGTGCTAATGATAACAAGTATCGGGTAACAACAAACAATACTTAAATTAAATCAGAACAGAACTTTCTCGATCGATCCTACCATGTAAAGTGCTAGTCTGTATATAAAATCCAACGTCCTTTCGACATTACGTAATAGGGCATTCAGGTTTACATGTACTTATGTGAAAGCTTTGCGTACACACATAATATAATATTTAGAAATCCGTTAGCACACAATAAATTTTAGTGTTCAGGGGCTCTTGCACCAAAGGCGCTAAAATTAGTGGTGCGCAAAATATTCTCCTTTTACTGTATCAAAACTTCAGTGATGTAACAAACTGATCACAATGTAGGGGTTTATTCTGATAATCCATGAGAATTTATGGGTGCAAGATAAATGTTAATGAGAAAGCTTTATTATCAGGATATTAAGGCCATATAAACCTTAGAAAATATACATGTATACTTTATATTTAAATAAAAATGCATTGTTATACTATACCATATAAATATCTGAAATCATCACAACTTAGTCCAGAGGATTAACTTACCAAATGGACATCAAAGATGATGTCTGCAAAACATAGGTTCTGTCTAAAAATAGGAAAATGCTTCTGATCATGATCTAAAATGAAAAAAAGAAAGAAACAAGTTTATAAAAATTCTGTTTCACTTTTCAACTTGAATATTTTTTACTGAATATATACTAAATATCTTTCCTAAATACAACATACCATTTGACGGCAATGGTCTTGCCAACACCCATCAACATTTTTCAGGAACTGTTCATATCCAACATTTTCAGTGAGAGTGTTAAGGAAATATATACATGTAAATCTATACCATGTATCAGTTCCAATGAAAAGTAAAGGCTCTCCCAATATAAACAAGTTATGACACCATGCAGAAAGCTTATTTTACAAAGACATCCCAATTGTTCTGCACAAACAAAGTTGTAGGCAATATGCTGTTTGTACAACTTTGCAAGTAAAAATCAAAGAAACATATAAATGCTGAAATATCTAAAACAAAATTAAAATAAATTTTGCTGGCCAATACATTAAAATAAATAGCCTGATTTATTTAAACAACTATTTAACATGTTTAACGATGCTACCAATGCAGGTATTTTTTCCATTTGCTTTCTAGCAAATTGAATAGAATGATTTCATGCTAAGGATATGCTTTGAACTGTTCGACTTTGGATCTTATGTGTTTATCACAGACTTCCTTTAGCTGTTCGTAGAGCTGGGCAGACATTTTGTGGGAGCACATGTTCTCCACCGCTTGATACAGTTCCTCCAAACTCCAGCGAATGGACGTACTCCTCTGGATCGCCTCCACTGATTCCCGCAGTTTCTCCCATGTCTGTTGCTGGAAATTCTCAGGAAGCTTGGGTTTTTCTGGAGGGAAGAAAAAATAGAATATTTTGTTGAAATTTATTAATTGAATATTTATGTGTTTAAGGAACGACTTAAAAAAAAATTTGCGTATCTTTTCAACCACAGTTGATCCAATACATATTTTAAATACAAACAGACCTCTACTTATTTATTTACAGTATGAGAATGAAAACATACCAGATTAATGAATTATTATGTAATTACAGCCATCAGAGACATATGGTAAACCTCATATGCTACGCTTGGCATCAAATTAATACATCTCTCAGGTAGAAAACCTATAGATACTCCCCTTGCCTTTTGGCAATTTATAAATAACACTCAACAAATGGATTTTAATAAGTACTTAGATCAGTAGTTAGGTCAATTTCTTTTTTCATGTCATTTTTTGGGACAGTTTAGAATTAGATGTCAAATAATTTAATATTCCATATACTCAAAACTGAAATGTAGTTTGTATTTGGTGTTGAATATTTACCATTTGTATTCATGACAATCAACAACCAGCTGATTGAAACATACAGCATCAATTTGTCATCATCTAAACTTTATTACATTACCTTTGAAATTCTTGATCACAAGTTTCTTCGTCGCACCTGGCTTGTTATTTGCCAAAGGCGATACATGTTTATTAAGTCCATTGCTTGGACTTGATATTGCTGAGAAATTAGCTCGTCTTTGTGAGTCAGTCATCTGCGAATCGTCAATATTTTCACGGGCCCTTTTGTGATTTGGTGGTGATATGCCCTCGCTCAATTTTCGCTTCTTCCGGTTCTCTTCGTCGTCAAACTTCTGCTCGTCTTGCAGATTTGGCTTATTAGTGCTTGAGAGAGGCATTCATGCTTCTACAGGCCAATAAATGGCCTATATACGCAATAAACACCCAAATAATGGGTGATCCTTCCACTGTTTTGTCTTTGACATACACAAGATGGCGGTGTTCTCGTGCGTCTTCTGTTTATGACAAGGGGAATAACTCTGAAATATGAAAAACTCGTCTATATTATTTTCATGTGGGAAAAGAGAAATGAAGAAAGAAAAAAAAAAGAAATTTGAATCTTGGCAAATGTGTGCATTCAGTGACACAAAATCCACCCACTTTTTTTTCCAATTTTCCAATTTGTAAAACGTAAAGTTTTGAAATTGGGAATTTTTTTTTTTTAAATATTAATGAAAAGGCATATATACATGCATACCTATACCTATGCTGAGCAATGATTTTCCCTTAAACCTTTGAAGTGTGATTACTGTCATTAATTACCCAATGCTGTGAAAATATCTAAACCGTTAACAATATGGGTGCGTATCATTACCGCTACATTTTCAAAATTTTCATTACCGCTACATAGTCATTATCGCTACAAAAAACCTTACGTTACCGCTACATAAAAAGTATACATTACCGCTACGTTGCCTCTTTCGTTAGTCGGCCACTAATGTGTGTACAGTACAACCTATACATGTACATGCATAAGACCCATTAGGCCGGAATTAAAAATATCTTTGTTTCCCCTAACCCGACCCTAAATTCTCAAGTTGGGTCGGTATAGGTAGGTAAATATTTTTTTTTTCTGAAAGCAGCTTAGAAATTCCATTCTAAAATTTAATGGAAAAATGACCTTTATAAATAAGAAAATTAAAAAAAAGAAAGCGATTTGTGAACAAAATGCTAAGTATCATACATGTACATATGCCGTTTAAAAGCAAAATTCATGATTAATTCACAACTGTTATTCAGTTGATCTTTTTAAATATCTCACGCTAGAGTACATGTATATAAATCGAATAATAAATGACAAGATTCTCAAATACGCATAGACCGGACATCCGAGTATATTTTTTCAAATCTTCCATCAGCCTCCAGTGCTTATAGACAATCAATGTACTTCTTTGAGGGCCATTAGATTTGCAGTGGTTCTAGAGCATTTAGCTTTGGAGTGGCTAATGTTAAGTTCAAATCCCAATGAGGAACGTTGAATACGGTCCTTCAATATATAAAAGTTATGTCCAGTGTCGCAGAAGACGCTTGACTCAAAAGAGATCCCTCACTGCATAGTTAATGGCAAAAAAGTGCCGTGTACGTATAAATTTGGAGCAATGGAGGCTGTTCAAATGTGTCCCAACGAATCTTGACGGGATTAAAAGCAAAGAAGCAACCAATCTTCAAGGGCCTAATTAAAGAAAAATACACTGGATGTTTCAGGAAGCTGAATCATGATTTCAAAACTATTTGGAAAGAGTATGTAAACAATATTTAATTGAACCAAACTGAATTTACAAATGATATAAATACTACAATGTATATACAATGTCATAGTCACGAAGGTTAACCAATATATAAAGGCATGAAGAAAAAAAATCAAATCTGGTCGCCAATTTGTTTCCAACAAATGCTTGAAAATCACAGCAGTACAATTGCAATGTCGGCCGTTCTGATAAAAACTGATTTTGATGAGATTGTATTTTATAAAAATTGGTTAACAAAAAAAAATAGTTGAATCATCTTATTTAAAAAATCTTTTCAGTCGGCGCGATTTAATTGGGTCGGTCGTGTTAGGGGAAACAAAGGTATTTTTTATTTTAGCCTTACTCCTACTCATAACGGGGAGGTGAAAGTAAGACTTTGAACAGGATGGGTTTTTTAAAAAATTAAAATCAACAAATAATTCGTCGATGTCTGTTTTGCAGCTGCTTTTGCAACTCTTTTCAACGCATCCTCACAATTTTGAGTTTTTTAAAGTCTTATTTTTTTCTAAATTTATAAAAAAAAAAATCGATAAGTAAGCCGACATTCCCTCAATATGTAACAAACTTCTCAATGGTGGCCATAATGTTCATATGACGCTAAATAATTAAATTTCGACTGCAGATTTATTTATATGTACTCATTTTGATTAGATAGTGAGTGGATTCTGTTGATTAGAACTCATGTAAACCGAACTATACCTGGCTAAATCGATATGTAGCGGTAATGAGTTGTTTTGGCTGATTAAGTATGTAGCGGTAATGAGTTGTTTTTTGCCGGAAAAATGTAGCGGTAATGATCGGTCGAAAATCTGACAAAATGTAGCGGTAATGAGTTCAAATTTTTGGCAATGTAGCGGTAATGTTGACCTCCCAACAATATCTTGCATAAACTTCTTGCTTCTAATCTTTTTTTTCTTTCCCATGATATTCCCCAAAAAGTAATATTTTAGCAGGGACCTTTAATAATTTTAGGACCCTGATTCTTCACTACAAGTTTTCAGAGACTTGTAACTTTCTTTTTAATTCAAGTCAATCAAAAGTAATATGTCTGATTTCCCGCCTCATTTTCATTATATTACACAATATCTAAAAAAAAAAAAAAAACTCACTAACGTTACATTTATTAATTTTTTCCGTAAGTTTCAAATAATGAAATCGTAAAAATTGAAATTAAAAAATTAACATTTAATTTAATTAACCAAAGCAGAATATTATATGATATATTTTTAAAATACATATCCTAAATTAAACCTTGGGCAATATGTTGTCCATACATTGTACAGTGTAGGCATAAATCAAAGATCTATGCGGCAAAGCGTTAACATCCCTAGCCTACTTCATTATACTGGAAAAATTAATTAACATTAATTATAAATATTAAGTTTGTTTGCTGAATGCACATCAACTGCATTGAGCACGGGTATCGTGTTTGAAAGGGGTGGGGTGGGGGGGGGGGGGGCTATACGTGGTCGAAGTAAACCATCTGATTTTTCTTAAGAAAAAGCGAGCAGTTTTGTGTATTTAGTATAAAATTCCCTGGTATAGCATAGGCATCGGAATTGGGGCGGAGGGGGGGGGGGTCTAGCTCTCCATTTCTTTTTTTTTTTAAAAAAGATTAACATAATATACATAATATCTATTATTATTATTATCTTGGCCTATAGGCATTGGATATTGGGTTTTACATTTTTTCTGTTTAACCCCTTCCACCTCCCCCCCCCTTCCTTTTCAAAATGCAATCGACGCTATATTTAAAAGAGCCTACCCGTCCTCTCCTCGTTTCGATGAGGGTAAATCAACTCATAAGTTTTTGAAAGATATATAACAACTCGGTCGGTATGTATTTGATGCTTTTCGGTTCATAAGTCTAAGGGATACAATTCTCTGTATTAAATCTAACTCCACATTTTTTAAAAGTGCGTTTAGTGTTTTCATGGTAAAAAAAATGTTGATGTACAATCTTAACGCTCTTTTGCAAGATTTTGTCCCAATTTTATTGCACCCCTTTTTTTTGTCCATTCAAGTGCGTAATATTTTCTATGCGTTGCCACACAGTTGAAAAGAGGACGGTTGATGTTGACCATTTATCCTTTGGCCTTAAGATAAGTTCTTGTATGGGTCTTAGACTACTTAGAGGCATGTAACCAGGCTCAAATTTTAGTGAGGCAATGGGTTTTGGGACCACTGGAGTCCGTAAGTGGGTCCCGAAACCTGGGTTTAACATATTTTGAACGACTTAATCTTAAAGAATCTTTGGTAGTGTCTTTTACTGATTTTTATTTGAAAATTAAAATATATAGTCGTGTACTTATTTTAATTTTCAAATAAAAATCAGTAAACGACAGACGTTTTCACATGTTTTAATCATTCTATCCCTATTTATCTCCACATGCGTTCAAAACTATAATGAAGTACCTGGTGAGGTGATTGATCGACAGAAATTGAAACAAAAGTTGTAACACTGTAACCATAACCCAAAAGTTGATAGTAATTATAGTGCAAAGACAAACATAATTAAAGTTCAAAGTAAAACGCGGAGCACTTTTTTCACTTTTAAGAAAACTGAGAAATTATAGCATTTTTCAGAAAACTGAGAAATTATAGAAACATTTGCTTCACAGGTAGTTAAGGCCCTCGTCTTTTGGAAGAGAGAAATCGAGACATAGCCTTAAGTTTTATTGCAAGACTAGAATCATCCTCTAGAAATTCTTTTTGCATTACATAAATTCCTTGCCTCGGCTTCTGACATTGTTTGATAAGGTTTTTCTTGTTGCTATAGGATATGTTATGAAAAATAACATTTTATATTTTGCCAAAGCTCAGATAAAAATGATATTATTCTATGAACCATTTACTGGAACTTGGCCTTTTGAACACGTCTTTATTACGTAATGGGAAAGTGGTGATGTATATGGCACGCCAAATTCACAAAAATGAGCTAAACATAGTTTCACAGTCGATAAACTAGGTTTATCGGTTGTAAACTATAGTTTACGGATTGTAAACTATAGTTAACAACGTTAATCTATATTTTACATCCGTAAACCATAGTTAACGCGATAATCTATGTTTCACAACCGTAAACTATACTTAACACTGAAAACAATCATTTGCGATTGCAAAACATAGATTATCTGATAAATACAGTTTCACGATTTGTAAACTATAGTTTACAAACCGTTAACTATCGTTAACGATCTGATAAATATAGTTTCACGATTTGTGAAACTATGATTAACATCTCTAAACTATAGTTTACTATTGTAAACCAAATTTACAAACGTGAGATAAACCTATGTTTATCAATTGAAAATCTATTGTTAAACTATAGTTTACAAACCGTAAACATAGATTATCATTCGTAAACTATAGTTTTCATCCGTAAAATTATATTTAACGGTCGTTAACTATAGTTTACGAATAATCTAAGAATCTGTTGAATAAAGCGTTAACAATAGATTTTGTTGATAAACATAGTTTACGGTTTGTAAACTATAGTTTACAATTGTAAACTATATAAGAAACCTAGTTTATCAAATGTGAAACTATATTTTATCGTTAACATTTTTGTGAATTTGGAAACTGTGCCATAGATAATATTGTTTTGCATTGCAAAAGAGAAAGGAATTTTTGTGGATACCTATGGTTTACAGATGTAAACTATATATGTTGATACATGTACACACAAACAGAATGACAAACATATATCA